AGTCCGTCCTACCAGACTCTGAGCTGCTTTACAGCGAGTGCCTGTTCTAGCTTTACACACACACACACACACACACACACACATACACATCTTTATATTTACAATGTATATGTCATATATGTTAACGTATAACAGTCTATACAAAGTTAATGTCATATATGTTAATGTATAACCTGGTCTGTACAAAGTTAAATACATTCACAAATACGTGAAATTCATTGGAGACAGAACTGATGTAATCTGCATTTTGGTGTCAATAGTATATAAAATAGAGATAATGGTAATAGCACTTGTGTTTGTTCTATTAAATGATGTTATACATTTCAAGTCTTGGATAGTTGCTAACACACAGTGAGTGCTCAGGAGATATTGACCATCATCAACTCTTTGGTTGGGATGGTTTTTGTAAAGTGACCATCACCTCACTGTCCAAAGTCAGTAATGCTAAACAGAATCACAAGATTTTGTTTTATCATAAAGATATAAGCATACTTTTTTGAGCAATAAGTTATTTTCTCTGAGTCCCAAGGAAAGAGTAATAGATAATGATAAGCAAATAGTAAAGGTAGGAATCTAACACTGCTTGTTCATCTCCTCACTCATGAGTGTCAGGCTCCAGGAGTAAATGTTCTTTGTTTCGCTGTAGGAATGATTGACTCCTTAAATCATTAGTTAGGTGGAGGTGAAAATCAGCTGGCAGGCTCTGAAATATGCTTGAATAATGTCTAATTTTGTTACTAACTCAAGCATTTTCTATACATATCAGTCAAATCAACTTCTGGCTGGTTTGGTGTGTCACACTTGGTTGTCTTAAAGCTACGCTGCTAATCCATCCACTAAATAATAAACTTAAAAGGGGCTTGCTAGCACTGCTAATCAGATGTGCGTGTGCCTCGTTATAAAGATTAAGGAAAATGGTTATGTGATTTGACAAAGATCAACGACAGTTAACTTAACCCATTCCATTGTGAGGATGGTCTGCATAGTTGAGAATTGCTGCACTGCACAGCTGGACTTAGCGTGGTCGTGGGGATACCATCCTTGGATCAGTAGGTCATGATATTCTCGATTTTTCTTTGTCTCCATCTCCTCGTACACAAAATGTGCACGAGATTATATGCTACCTACCTCATCAACAGGGAGGATATATTGGGCAATGTGTAAAATATAAATCAAGAAGCTATTTTATTATTGTATGAATCGAACTGTAAGCTAAACTCAATTTCTTTCTGTGGGCACTTAGTGTTATAGATGAACTGAAATAGCTCAGAGTTAGAGAAAGAGTGACACTGTGAACCGATAGTCAGAACCTCTTTTCCTTAGGTTTTTTCCCTTTGGGGGCCGGAGAGGGAAGAGTTATGTTGATTTGACCCTGTGACTCACATGATGTTCTTCAGCGCCTTGTAACCGGCTCAGTGCGGGTTCCTTGTGTTTTCTCCTTTAATTTGCTTAGTTAAGTGTAATGTTATCACTTATGTTCCTGATTTACTGAAATTCCCCTGTTAAAATACTCTTCACAAGGGCTATTTGATAGTCAAGAAGTCTTTCCAGGTCATTCAAATGAGCTCCTAATGGTTACTTTTTGAAGGCAGGAAGTCACAAATTACCAAGAATAAAAGAACTTGAAAACACAGAGGTGTTTTCTGAGCTTCAAGGGGCTGGTTTTGTTTCTGAATGGATGACCTGATTTGGTTGAAATAATTTGCTATGTATTTATTACATTCATGACGTAGGGAACTAAACTCTATATCCTGGTCAGTAGCTGAAATGTTTCATTTGGTTAGCCTAAATATTATATATATAACCATGATTGAGAAATATGTTTTACAAAGGATGAAATTTCATTTTTACCTAGACTGTTGATCTTAACTGAGATTATTATTTTAAGTGTATCAAAGGTATTTTGCTTCATAGGTAGCCCTAGCTACTCTAGGAGTTTTTTTAAAACTGATTTTATAAAATATAATATTAATATTATTTCCAAATTATCATATCTAAGAAACAACGAAGAACAGAAAATGACGTAGTATATTCACGTTATTTGAAATGTGAGCTGGTACTTGGATTTCGTGCATCAAAGCCACTGGACTCTATTTTACCAGGGAGTGAGACTCTAGAAACAAACACAGAGTGTTTCCAGGGAAACAATAAAATCCTCTTCATGAACTAGAATGCCAAGACCCCCACACACTGGTCCACCTCCTTTGTAGTAACTCAGAACTCTGCCCCTCACAGCTGCCTCTCTTGTGGACTGCTGTGGGACACACAAGGCAATCTGCAATTGTATGCAAAACTGTGCAATGTATTTGCCTTGGTCTGTGACTATTTGTGACTGTAAATACCTCCAAAAAGAATCCTATTGTGTAGCTTGGCAGTTCCTAGATTCTGGCACAGTACTGGGCACATAGTAAGTACTCAATAAACACATAATTTATCAATGCTAACTGAGAGAAACTTCTCAAGGATTGGGATTCTGTTTCAAATTATCTCCATGGTACCTCATATGGCACCACATGCTGATAGGTGCTTATTGATTGATTTGATTGAAGCTATAAACAGAAAACCCACTCGATTCTTTAACTTCTATGATCATGTGAATCTGGATTCCCAGGTTTTTTCCTCATTTAACTTGTCTCACGGACTTTAGCTTTCTTCGTTGTCTTCCGCAAACAGTTTAAAGTTGATGCTTCCAATTGGTGTTTCCTGGCTTGTCGCTGAGAGTTGGGCTAGAAGGATTCTGACTGTCTTCAGGACATTAGGTCCTTTTAGTTGCAAGATGAGGAAATAGGTTCATTCTGTCGAGTAACTTGTCCAAGGCAATTACTCCATCCATTTCATGTTCTGTCTGAGTACCCATTTTATTCCAGATGGTAGCAAAATAAAAGTAGAGCCTCTTATTTCCTAGTTCTCCAGCCAGAGTCCCCATTCCAATTCCAACCCCAATTTGGTTATCATTAAACATTTATCACTTAGAGTCACAATACTCCCTCCCCTCCTTCCCTGAGCACACATTGAAGAAAGCACATGTTCAAAATATCTCCAGGGATTTGCTTAGCTTGTGTGTTTCCAGCTTTTTCAGAATGGCAGTTTTCTCTGGTCAGAATTTCGTAACACTTTGCTCCTGAAGGAAGAACAAGATTTTTTTTTTGGAAATCTTGCTTTGAGAAGTTTTTGGAAAACTCATGATATTTGTGCTACAGAGGAGGTCTTGTCATATCACATAAACAAAAGGGGATTTGTGAATCTGTGTCTTGGGGGCAGAAGTATTGTGTTTGGCCAAGTGTGTGATGATGTAATGGCTCTGCTACCACTAAGATGGGGATTTGTCACCCAACAGCAGCTCTCATGCTGGATAAGTAGCCACTTTTCTGTGCTTGAAGAAGACCACAATTAGCCCCTGTTTAACCTAAGGTATAAAATGATAGGCTTAGTCGTGTAAAGCTTAGTTATTCTGGTAAAGGTGGTGAGTGGGCCAGTGGTTGTGAATAAACCAAGGCTTTGGTCAATTACTTCCCTGTTATTTAGGAGTTTGGCTCAGTTCTGCAGTATCCTGAATGTTCTAGCATGAAGGGTGAAGGGTGAAGAATTGGGGAGGGTTGGGGAATGGCACTTTGTTCCCTATGGGTTTTGGAAAGTTATGGGAGATGCTTCCAGAAATGCTATTGGATTTGAGAGAGGAACACATTGGATAGAAGGAATGAAAATAAAAGCTTCTGTGGAAGGGGTTGCTCACAGGCCTCCGTGGAAGGGAGGATGGTCGTGAGAGTGGTAGCATATGGTTGGCCCTTCTGTTGCATCACTTTTTCATTGTGCTTGTGTCAAAGACTGATGCCCAAGAGTTCCTGACCCTTGACAGCACTGAAAAGTCAGTTGTCAGAGTCAAACATGCTGTTTTCCATTTTCATATGTGTCTGTATTTATTTATGGGGAAGCAATCGGATTTCGAGATGTGAAGGGTGGGTGAGCAAACTGGTTTCTTAGGCTTCTAGTAACATTTGGCCTAAGAAAATTGTACTAGTGATCTGAGTTTGGAAAATCTTAGGAGGTTCCGTTTTTGGCGTCCGGCCACTAAAAGTATAAAATGTGAAAACATTACAAAAAAGTCTTTTCTGGTAAATCTGACTCTGGTTTCTCTATCTACATGCCTTTCCCTCCCCCTTCATGAATACAGAAGACGCAGGAACGAAGGACCATCTGGCCCAGCATGCCAACTTTTTATTTGGTTGCTCTCAATCCTACCTTCCTGTTGGATCACCCCTCCCCTCTGCCCATACTTAAGAAACCAATCAAGGTGTCTCCTGAACTCATTTATTCCCTTTGTTTTAACCGCCTTCTTGGGTAACTTTTTCCATATGCTTACATCCTTGCTTCACAACATTTTTTTTTTTTTCATTCAAAATGGCCTGGTTGGGCTCTTAGGAAAAGCTATTTATTCAAATATATGACCAAGTGCTTCTAAAGGTCCCAAACAACTTTTTGTTACTTTTGATGGCCAGGATATATAAATGGAGAAAAAATTGCTTTCTAAAAATAGCTGGCTGGTGGGTAGGGGGTGGTGTGCAATTAGAGAACACACTGCTGTTAGCACTGGATCTTACCCCAAGTGCCATGTCTACTCTAGATTTGGAGCTATCGTCTCTAATTGCTCTTCTTATTATTTTAATTTGGCATTTATTTATTCTGTTGCCCCACTTTGGCTTCATTCCCTTCAACATGGTGACATTAGTGCTTTTTATGTTGCCTGTTGTGGACCAATTTTCTTCAGCTGTTACTAAAACTTACTAAAATGCCAGATGTCACGTTGGAAACATGAAACCTGAAAGAAGGTCATAAATCACAAAAACAAACCATAAAAAATATAATAAAATAGCCCGAGTGCTGTGCTCTGGAGCGTCCCAACTTTAAGTCTCCCCTGTTCACCTCCCCCAGCCGGCCCCATCTTCTGGGCCCAGAGGGGAGCTCCCCAGTGTCTCACCTGAGGTCTTATGTTTGTTTTGCAGATTCTGAGCAGAGCACTGGCTCTGACTCTGAGGTGCTCACTGAGCGGACCTCCTGCTCGTTTGACACCCACACTGACCTGGGTCCGGGTGCTGCGGGCCCCGTGCCTGCCACCATGTCATCCATGGAGGAGATCCAGGTGGAGCTGCAGTGCGCTGACCTCTGGAAGAGGTTCCATGACATTGGAACTGAAATGATCATCACCAAAGCAGGCAGGTAAGGTCAAGTGCCTTCAGATGCTCAGAGTCAAAGAACAGAGGATGAAAGTAGGAACTGTTACCTTTTTTTTTTTTTTTTGATGTATATGTGGTAGATAGCGTTGGTGAGCCAAAGCAACAATACTCACTTTTCTGCATCCGAAGATCTTGGCAAAGTGATCTTGTGTTCACTGTGATTTTTGTTTTTTTCTTCTTCCAAGAGCCACTCAATCCTCAATCATCTTTGCCTTCATACACATTTTCCATTTACAAATGTGTTTCAGCTAATACTGGGGACCCATGGTACACAGGTACCAAGTGGTAGGTTCCAACACCAAGTGTTACTTCATTAGATAATGCTTTCAAGAGAAAATGCTTGCTCCCCAAACAATAGCTTGTATCTTCTCAGGATACTAAAGCAGCTGGATGTTTTTGAATGAATTTTGTTTATGGTAAGAATGTGATTTGGCACGTCTTTTGACTCCTGCTTGTTGATCCATTGCATTTTATTGTTGACCTGAAATTATTGCAAAACTTTAATGGTGATTGGGTGTATACTCTTGCAAAGCTGTGTGGGATGATAAAAGTTTTAAAAGCACAGTTTCTCTTGAAATAAGCACGTTTAATCTTTATTGGTATCTTTCATTTCCATAGCCAGGTATCTGTTTTGGATTCATACTCAACATGAGGAGAGTTCTATGAGGTTAGGATATAATATTATATATAGGGATGAGAATGTAAGTTTCATGGGAACCCTATGAGGGAAAATATGATAATCCTAAATATGGGGCCTCCCCTGGTGGTGCATGCAGTTGAGCGCAGTGCTGCGAAGCTGTCCACAGACTCTGCAGTTCCAGTTCCATCCCGGCTGGCCGGCAAGGGTCCCACATGGTGAGGCAGACCTCTCCTGTCTCGCCCGCTGCTCTCTTTCAGCAGTGTATTTCATCAGTCTACCTGTTCTGCTCCCCACTCTGTCTCTGGTGAATCCTCTCACCCTCCCGCACGTCTGGCCTATACCACGGTTCTTGTATAATAAAAAAAGATAATCCTAAATATGGATGGATGGGGATGTAAACTAACTTGACTAAGACCACATGGGTAGTGAAGGCAGCTCCAGATTTCTACCCAAATCTATCTGACTCTAATGCAATGATCTTAACTATTTATAACACTGCACTGTTAAGAACTGGTTGTTTTGGCCTCTTGGATTCAAAATCAAAGTAACTCAGTAATGATAAATTGGAGTAAGCTTTTGAGTAAATATAAATAGCTCATGAAAATTACAACAATTATGTTACTTTCATATTTTCAAAGCACGTTACATAGCCTAATGTCACGCCTACCAGAAAGACCCACCTCATTGATCATCAGCTATTTTTGTGGACAAGGATTGTGAGTAAAAGAATATGTAGGTCAGTCCAGGTTATTTGAATGCAAATAGAAATGCTCTCTCCCCCAATAGAATAAAACACCGCAAAAGCAAGAGGCTAAAATGCATAGGAAATCTTGTTCATTTTCTTTCTTTTCTGGTGCTCTCTTCCTTCTATGAGATTTAGTAGGTGTCTGTGGGGAGCAACTTTGAAGGAGAATTGCTTTAGTTTTTGGCATTGGGATGGGTTTGGAGAAGAGGAATTTTTTTTAATAAGGTTTTCCCATTTTATTTTGGGCTTTTACTTACCATTATTGGTTCTCTATATCCCCATCATTTTTGTTCCTTATGTAATCCCCAGAATTCCTGCACTTCAAAGTGAATTCAGTTCACTTGCATAGCTCCTTGGCAATGCTTCCCTGACCTCATTTGTTTATCTCTTGCTGTGTTCTCTTTTTGTATTCTTACCTCTGAACTTTCATGCTGATACTTAAGTATATCCAGCTATTCCCACCGCAGATATACAGTTTGTTCTTTATTCATATCCTTTTATCTAGATTTAGAAACTACATCTATCACTTCTGTATTTGATAGCTTCAGTTGTAGCTATTGCTACAAGTAATTCTGCCCAAGTCATTCTGGGACAACTCGGAACCAGACAGAGAAGACTGTCTCTTCTGTGAATGTTTTTCATGTTCCTCCTCTTTTCCCCAGTTGACTTCTTCCTTTCACCTCATTTTCCTTCTTACTCAGTGTCCCTTTCAATTTTAATTCCAATTTCCATTTTCTTAGTCACACTATTTATGTGTGACTCTCTGATATTTTACCATTTTAGAAGCTCTCAGTCACTCTCTACTTCTTCTCACACCCAGATCATGATCCTGTTGGTTCAGAACCACTGTAGTCTACACAGCCCTCAATCTTTGAATGTACTGATGGAATCTGTGCAATCAGCACCATGGACAGAGTTGCTTCTAGGGATTAATGAACTGGAAGACAAAATAATTGACTTAAATTCAGTCATAAAATTAAAACCAAATGCATCTCATTTTGTGAATATAAAAGATTGATTTTCCTCTTGGATGTTATGACTTTAGTTGATATTCTGTACTAAACTACTGGCAAAAAGTAAGAAAAAAATTTTTTATAGCACATTCTTAAGAAGAGGTTCAAATAAAGTAAGAATTTTAAAGCATGAGGAAACCTTAGAGATTATCTAGTCCCTTTCCTTTGTTCTATATTTGGTGGGGCTAAAGTGACTTATTCCAGGTCATACAACTCATTCATTTTAGAATTTGGGTATTGGAAAGAGATGGGTATCTTCTTTACTCAAGATCATATAAGTATTAATTTTTATCTTTACTCAAGTAAAGTACTTATCTTTACTCAAGATCAATAAGCAGGTATTGAATTTACAAACATCTAATTTCTTTTCTGGAAGCCATCTCTTTCAATGTAGCACAGACCATATAGATGGTTGAGAGGAATTACATTTTCTTATCTCAGATAACAATGAGAGGACTTTCTCTTCATCCATGGCAAGAGGCTATCCTACCACTTATAAGGCAGTTATAAACCTTTGTTGTGAAGAATGTAATTATTGTCCTACATTTAAACATGTAGGCAAAGATTCACAAATTTTTGGAAATAATTAATGTGAATCAAAGTTTCTAATCTATGCTAAATTAGGAGTAGCCTACCACCAAATTTCTTTAGCTTACCATAAGACTAAAATATAAGATTTTCTAGTTAAACTTGGGTGGGAGGGAGAAAATATAAAATCATAACTGGTAGAAGCTTCTGGAAAGTTACAAAGTAGAAAAGAAGGAATGGTTATTATTTTTGAAAACATTTAAGAATTAACAATCAGAGGACGTTTGCTTTTTGAGTCACTTTTGACGAGTAGTGGGGTGTGAGATCAGCACAGAAAGCTCTTTATGTAAACAACCAGTGCACATTTGCAAGATGGCTGTCTGGGGTCAGAGTATGGTCTATGGCCATGAAATGAAGCAAAGCCAATTAGGCCATATGTGAATCAAGCCTGTGACCTTGACCTCATTAGCACTGTGCTCTGCCCTGCTCGACTAACTGGCCCCAGATGGTTAAGTTTAATGCAGCATTTTGTGTACAAGAACCCTAGAGCACATTTGGGGTAATCCAAAATTTTGAACTGAACACTTTTTATGTCTGGCTCCTAAATGAATGACATACAAAAGAGCTTGATGTTTTTTCTTCTTTCTTATGGTTAAAGAATAGTGAACTTTATTCTAGACTCCCTGAAATTCAATACCTCTTTTGGGCTGCTCTGTCTCCTCCTCTTCAATTATGAGACTAGTTGTGAAGTGCCACATCCTGACCTCACTTGCTTTGGCAAGTTTAACAAGCCATTGTGGTAGAAACAAGGTATTGCCCAGAGGCCACTAGAATTCATTTGGTATTTGCTCCCTGTTCTGCTGGGTCCTTCCTTTGACACACACGTTGACAGCCTGAGAACTTGCAGGAATTTTACTACAGTTTAATGCATTAAAAAAAAAAAAAACTTTGGTGGCCCTTTGTGTGCTAGTGGTACCTTTTTAAAATTCTTTTCTTGAGAAATTATTTTCAGAGTGGCCATTTTCAAAAACAATCAATAAGAACATTCTGATTACTGAGAATTAACTATGATGCATTCCTTAGATTAAAAGAGATGAGTATAAGGTAGTCAAGTACATTAAGTGTAAGAGTATAAATATAATCTTGAATGTTATAGTCTAATAGTGAATGTGTGTGTGGTTATACAAATTGTCTATCTATCTATCTATCTATCTATCTATCTATCTATCTATCTATCTATTGAATACTAGTAATACTAGGGATTAACAATTTTATAAAGCAGGGTCTGGTATGAGTCATTTAAGTGAATAAGTCACCAAACAGATCAATTTAAGTTAATATGAGCTGCTGTTTCAGCTGTATGTCTTTAATGTATTTTCTAGTGGTAACTTCCAAAGTGAAAAAAAAATAAATCAGTCAACTTTGAGAATTAGAGGCTGTTGGGCTTTGGCATCTCAGAGGTCCTAATAAGAACATCTCTAAGCTTTTGCTCCTGCTTCCTCTGACTACTGTGCTTACTCCACATTCCCCTTCCCAGGAGGATGTTTCCTGCCATGAGAGTGAAAATCACTGGCTTGGACCCTCACCAGCAGTACTACATAGCAATGGACATTGTGCCTGTGGACAATAAAAGATACAGGTAATGGTGACTCAGGATGTTGAATTGTGGGCCTCGGAAGCAATTTAGGGCAGTTCTTAAATTCATTAGATGATGCATTTTCAAAGCGTGCACAGTGCAGAGAAACGAGGGATGGAGCATAAACCAGTGGGCTATGAGAGAGCACTGGGCTGTGAGTAGTCATCAGAGGAGCAATCAAGGCTCAGTACTGGTTTGGTCTGGAACCCCTCCACCCCACCCTCCTGCAAAAATCCAAGTAAAATTTTAAGTCGATTAACATTGAAAGTGATTAACAAATTGTTGGATGATCTGGCGTATGACATGAGAAGTGAGTTGAGGGGGTTTATTTTGGAGAGGGGACAGAGAAGCGGGCCAGTGCAGCACATACGTGCTTATATGGGATGGATTACTCTGTGGATATGGAGATGAAGAAATGGAGAATTGGGTAAGTCTTCAAGAAAAACATCTAGTTAGAGAGAATTATTGCTCATTAATATGGGTTATGGGCAAGTTAAGTAACTTTCCTTCAAAATCATTAAAAGCCAACAGAGTCTCTGTGTCTCTTGGATGACTTTATACATTAGACAGAAAAGAGTTGTGACCTCACTGATTTCCGGAGATCTCAATCAAATCAGTGACTCATGGCTCATTTTCGAAGGGTTTAAAATCTGAGAACTTGGTCCTCAGCCCATGAATTTGGAAGTGAGAGCTGAATGGGCAAGACCAAGACTTGCCTGGTGGGGGGAAGGGAGCTGGGCAAGAGAAAAGTGGTCTGGACGTAGGACTTACAAGACCAGATAGTCTAGGGTCTGTCTTAGAGGATCTAGGAGTTGTGATTTGTGTTGTCTCTGTTTAGCTGGGGTCCAGGCCCCATGTAGTTGTTAGGCTTGAGAAGCAGGAATGTGTCAGATCCATGGAGAAAACTACAAGGCAATTGACATAGTGTGGAAATCTGGCCTCATTTGTGATCACAGCATATCACTGACAGTGGCCCTGTGGGAAAAGAATGTGGAAGATGATCATATTCAAAAGTAGGCTCATCTAGGACCACTGGAAAAAAAAGAGAAACTCAGCTTCAAGAATTGGTTTTTATTAATTTCTGATAACACAGTTGATTATGTAGTCCTTTAAAGTCTCTTTGGATCTAATTCATAACAGGACTTAGTAAATAAGTAAGCATGGTTTTATGGAGGCTAATGACTCCCAAGTTTCCAGGTTAGAGATTTATCTGTTTAAATTTTTATATAAATATACCTTGTTTTTACTAAAAATGTTCTTCTTCTTGAAAGAGAATAAAATAATATCCCTTAAAAAAAAAAAAGTAGGCTTATCAAAGACAACACTAGCTGGGAAGAACTGGTGATTATGCTTGCGCTAAGGCAGTAAGATCGAAATGCCTCACCATTCAGAGTCTCAGCAAGGAAATGGTTAACAAGTGAGAGGCGCGGAAGGTCTCCGCACATGGCTGTGTTTTATACGACGATATGGAAGATGTTTTTAATAAAGAACCGAATCCTGAACAAGTGGTCAGTGGATTATATGGTTCGCATTTGAAAGGTGAAAGGTTGCCGTAAAATACCTTTTCCACAGCTCGACACGTGGGTTCAGGATGCCTGCGTGCACGCAGGGGTGCAAGGCAAGGCGAGGGAGAAGAAAGAAAAAGTGTTGTGAGAATGTTTTCCTTGCGAGAGCTGCAGCTTTGATCATTAACCACAGCATTTTTCTGCCCTCCCCCACTCCATCATGCTCCACCTCCACTTCATTTTCCTTGGGTTTCTACCTTTCTTTTTCTCCTTTGCATTCTGCTCAACTTCTGCTCAACCCGAATACTCCGTTTCTGTCATCTGTTCATCTCTCCTGCCTCCCGCCTCTGTGTGTGTCCTGGATTCTGCTCCTTCCTGCATCTGTCTCTGAATTGCCCTCTCTTCCTGTCTCAGATATGTGTATCACAGCTCCAAGTGGATGGTGGCTGGCAATGCCGACTCCCCGGTGCCCCCGAGAGTCTATATACACCCCGATTCTCTAGCTTCTGGAGACACTTGGATGAGACAGGTGGTCAGTTTCGACAAACTCAAGCTGACCAACAACGAATTGGATGATCAAGGGCATGTGAGTCAAAGAATCCCTTTTCTCTTTTCTTCTTTCTTTTTGCTCCAAAGCTGGGTAGCCTCAACTTTTCCAGTGGGTAAAATAAGCATCTCTTACGTAAAGATTCTTTAAAGTAAGCATCGATGTCTAATTTTTCGCCTGTGAACTTCCATTTATTACCAATCTAGCATTTAGCAACTATCTGCTGCACATCAGGTTGTTATCAGGGTATGCTTCAGGGACTTACCGTCAAGGAGTAAAGAGAAATACAGAAAATTCAACAGAAGTGGAAAAAACCTCAGCATTCAGCAGAATAACACAGAGGGAAAAAACTCAGGGAAACAACTAAAGTGACAATTCTGACTAATTTGTCAAAACACAAAAAACCACACTCATTTATAGGAGAGGCCTATAGGACTTTCCAGGTATAACTGGAACCTGATGTTATCACTTCATCTTTGGTAGTAAATCCTACGCTGAGTTCTCGACAAAATCCAGGGAAAACTGAGGTAGCTAAAGCCATGGTTCCTATTTCGAAGGAAGCTGCAGGTTTTGAGGGCAGGAGAATGCACATTTACAGTCCCTTGCTCCTGGCCTAAGACAATGCCTGTGAGTTCAGCAACGGAGCCCTAGCCTGCAGGACTTAAAAACACCATGAGCTCATGCTGCAAACTTGAAGCAGGAGGCAACTGACACCTGTCTGAGATTGAGACATTGTAGTGGAGCGTTGTCTACTGGAGCCCAGACAGTCGTTCTGTCCTGACCCAGTGAGAGCAAACAGCCCACCCACCACTTGTGACCGGGACGCTCTGCTGCCTGGTTCACGTAACACGATCCGATCACGTAGCCCTTCCTGCCTTGAGCAAGGATGCTCATTTCCAGTTCCCTGCACATCCCGCCAACAATCCCTGCTCTCCTGATGCTTCTTTCCTGTGATTGATAGTGCACGAGAGCTTAAAAAGCTGCGTGGACCTTCGAGCCAGGCCTGGCATGGTGTCCCCTTGTCATTGCAGATCATCCTGCACTCAATGCACAAATACCAGCCTCGCGTTCACGTGATTCGCAAGGATTTCAGCAGTGACCTTTCACCCACCAAGCCTGTCCCTGTGGGGGATGGGGTGAAGACGTTCAACTTTCCTGAGACGGTGTTCACCACAGTCACAGCCTATCAGAACCAGCAGGTAAGGGGCTGCCCTTGAGTTTCCTGCTGCATTTTTTTTTTAGATTTATTTATTTATTTATACAAGCACCGGGTACAGTCAGAAGTGAGGGTTGGGAGGGTGAGAGAATTCACCAGAGCCAGAGGGGAGAGCAGAGCAGGCAGAGTGATGAACTGCACTGCTGAGGGGAGCAGCGGGCGGCAGGAGAGGTCTGCGCGCCATGTGGGACCCTCACCCGGCAGCCGGAGATCGAACCGGCGCTGCAGAGCTTCACAGCCCAGCGCTCAACCACTGCGCCACCGGGGAGACCCTGCATCTGCTTTTAAAGGAGCTTGTTTATGCTTTTGGTGAGAAATGCTTAGTCCTTGTACATGGCATTGAGGAGATGGAATAAGAGACACCTGTCTTGCAGTGCACACATGACTTTGGTGATGACAACATGGTAATGCCTAGAAGCTGCTGGCATCATCCAGATTTAGATCAGAGACAAGGTCTTTGACCAAGATGACAGAGCCTCCTAAGTCGATTTCATGTCCTTTTGTACTTGGGCTTTCGTGTATGGTCTCTGCTGCGTCCTAGTATGTGCTCATACCTGCAATTCATCTGTAAGTTCCGAGACTTGGAAGATCTTTTCCTCCTACCTACCATATTCTGCGTGGCCCCCACCAGGCCCCCTCAAAGTCATCCAGCTCCTCAAACTTTTTTTTTTTTTTAATCTTAAATTTTATTTTTATATTCCCCCATACAATTGCAAACGCCCCATTCTGACCCCAATTCTTCCCCTCCCGCCCCCCACCCCCCAAAAAGTGTCTCTGGTTCATAGTTTTTTGTTGATTTTGATTTTCACTTTCTTATATTCATTTTCCTGGTCCCTTATTTAAGTTTTCTAGATTCCTGCTATGAGTGAGACCATCCGGTATTTTTCTTTTTCTTTTTGGCTTATTTCGCTGAGCATGATCCCTTCCAGCGCCATCCATGTTGCTGCAAATTGCATGTGTTTATCTTTTTTGAATGCTGAGTAATATTCCATGGTGTATATGTACCACATCTTCTTGATCCAGTCATCTACTTTTGGGCATTTGGGTTGTTTCCAAAGCTTCAGCTCCTCAAACTTTAAGAGCCACGAATTTCAGACTAAATTGAACTTCATGTGATCACCAGCTACAGCCTAAGATCTGTATGTTTTTACGTCTATTATAAGTTCAGTCATGCCATCAGTATTGATTGGGAACTTAAAATGTTCCAAACCTAGTAGAGAAATAGAGCTGATTCACATATTTCTACTTTAAGAAAAAGTTTCAGTTGCGCAAAGACACATACTGATAATTCAGTAAAATAATTAAATGACAGAGGTATGGACAGTGTGTTTCAGAAAACTAGTCCTTTTCTGAAATAGAGATTTTGTTTATTTTTTTGAAAGTCTGCATCATTGTATTTGGGGTCTCCTTGGAACAAAATCAACTTTTATGACAATATTCAATACTTTTTGCATGGCATACTGTCTTTAGTACTCTGACCATGAAAGCATTAAAGGAAAAACATTGATTTAGCAAATAACTTATGAAGTACTGACAATGTTCCGGGCATAGAGAGGTATGGTACATAATCTTTGGTTCACAAGGAAAGGCTATTTCTATCTTTCATAGCAATTCTGGATAAAATTCCTTTCTTTTTATCTTCAGAAAGAAGATAGAACTTAAATGTTAAGTACTATATGGCTGTTGAGATTTCTCAACAACGGTAAAGAGTTCCCAACTTTAGATTTTCCTTGTGGCTGTTACATTTGCTTCAAAATAGAAAAGCTTTAGTTTCTTTTGGGTGCTAATTAAAAATAATTCAATCCTCCTAAACTCCCTAGATGGTAAAATTGCAGAGGCCTTGGAAGATTCCTACAGCAACTTTTAATAATTAAGATTTTTTTACTCTGATACAGGATAAAGCAGCAATATAGACATAGCCTTTGGGGCACCTGGAAATTTGGAATTAATTTTGGATCAGAAGAAGAAAATAAGAATCTAAGCTCTTTGGGTCACTGGCTGGCCTTCCCAAGACCACCCTAGCCTTTACTTTAATCATCAGTTTCTCATAAAGGCAGAATGTGGCATTAAATATTCCCACCTTGAAATTTAGTTAGTAGAGCAAACTAGAACACTGAAGAATACTCTATTTCCTCAGTGAGATAAGTTCTGGAGCCAGGAGAGCTGACGTGTTAACCCAAATTGAACCTAGAAATTTGTAAATCACAGTGAGAAGGAAATGTGGCTACTTGTAGTCCCTTCTCTGCTCCTATTTTATCTCATCCTTTGACATCATTTGAGTACATTCTACTCATCTAAATATTTCATACATCTGGACTGGGGTGGGGGACTGTGGTGGTTTGGTGGGAGTTGGAGACCATGATTTAAGGTCTTGGGATTTGACAGTGGACAAACCTGGTTTGCTTTCTCACATTCCCACACGTGAATTGTGTGCCTATACTTAAGTTTCTTAGCCCCTTCAACTCGTGTCTCCTGGCCTGAGGATGTCCTGGCCTTAGACCACACTTGGTTGCCATTGCTGTACCGCTGGGTCTCACGGGCACGAAGGAGAGTGGGACATCGTGGAAATTTTAAAGAGTAAATTCTTCTTTAAAGAGAAAGTGGATTATTGGGAATTGTGGGGATGCCTGGCTCACGGAGGAATTATACTCGAAAGGGAACACCTTTGATCTTTGTCTTCCTGTCCTGTTGGTGAGTTCATGTTATGCTGAAATTCAAAGTTGGTGAGGGCCTCCCCGGTGGCTCAATGGGTTGAGCGCAGTGTGGGGACCTGTCGGCAGCCTCAGCAGTGCCGGTTTGATTCCCAGCTGGCCAGAGAGAAACCCACATGGTGAGACAGACCTCCCCTGTCTCGCCTGCTGCTCCCCTCAGCAGTGTTTTCCTCAGTCTGCCTGTTCTGTTCCCCACTCTGTCTCTGGTGGGTTCTCTCACCCTCCTGCGACTCTGGCCTGTACTCCAGTTCTTGTATAAATAAATAAATCTTAAAAAAAAAAAGTAGCTGAGTCATCCTCAATTCTGTGCATTTTGAAATCAAGATAGCAGCTTTGCCTGTTTAACAAGTCCCTGGATAAATTAGCAGGCATGATTGCTTAACATTCCCTGTGGCTATGTAGATAAGGTTTAGTATAATACAGTGCTTTAGAATCATGTGTACTAACCCCAGGTCTTCCCCCGGGGATCCTGAAGTCTGTCCTGAGAGTGAGAGGTGTTACCTAACAATGGTTTTCATTCTTGGCATCATGAAGATGCCAAGTACCATAAACTGTTCTCTTTTGACAGCTCTATCCACCTATTCCTGTTCTCATTTCCCTCAACCTCCTAGAATGAAAATAATCAACACTTATGGCAAAATATTTTGCTTCATATATTTCTTTTCAAGGGAATGGTTCGGAGGCCTACGAAGGCATCTAAAGGAAAAAAGTCAGTGGTAAGTTCTCAGGAACTTGTTGGGAGAAATGCAGTGAAGGAAAGAATATGGAAGGAGTGAAGTTGAAACAAAATGTGCTGAGTCTTCCCAAGGAAAGGCAGTGTCTCGCTTCACCGAGAGCCAGGCGAGGTGTTCGGAGACTTGGGCTTTGGTCGTAATTTTTTCTGTGGTTATGTATGTCGCTGTAAGCAACTTATTTTGTTTTTCTGGGCTTCTGTTTCTTCTTCAAGGAAATGGGCCCCTGACCTATGCTTTCTAAGGTCTGTTAGCTCTGAAATTATGATTTCTCCCTCCTTTACTTCCTGCATGCTATTTAATGAGGGTTGGGAGCAGTTATTTTTAGCAAACAGAGGCAACTGACACATGATTTTCAAGGATTGAAACTGATTGGCTTGTTCATGTCTGTGAAAGATGTTTTAATGCCCACAACATTCAGATCAACACAGCGTTAGCAAGTCCACCCTTGAGAAGTGGGTATTTTGCGGCTGGTACACAAAGTACCCCAAACTTTGCTGTTTGTTTGTGACTCTTCCCAGACCTCTCCGTTGTTCAAATGTGTTTCCCGTTGACCTCAGTCTTGTCACCTAGGACAGACACCAGAATCTCTCCCCATCCAATCTGTCACTAAATTCCGTTGCTTCTACTGAAGGGATATTGTCTTCCTGATCCCCTTGCTTCTGCCTTGTTCTGGGCCTGCCTCCCCCATTCTGACCCATGAGCACTTAACACAGTCACGTGGACAGTAAGCCCTGTGTCTCGGGAGTCATTACATATGCTTATTTCTGGATGAATGTTCCCAAAGCATCATTTCTCTGTCCAAAATCATCATGAATCCTTGGTGCCCGGGGAATAAAAAAATCCAGGCTCCCAAGTCTTTGCATTGGGATTGTCTGTGGCTAATGACCAGCTGCATTTCTAGGCACATTTTCTGTTCATCTTCATTGCACAGCCACAAGAGCTGAGCAATCTAGTTCAGTTTTCACTATTGTTAGTACTTTAGCTTTTGCATGTTCTGTAGATGTTCTAGAAACCCTTTGTCTTTATCTGTCTGAATTCCTTCTATGCTTCAGGTTTAGTGCAAATTCCGACCCTGACAAGCTTCCTTGCAATTTTCAGCTGCCAATGAACATTCCCTTATTCTGTATATGTCTGTGTCTTATTGTCCTTTCCATATTTTGAGCTTTTTGAGGAGAATGTTTCATCTTCTATAACAATCAAATCAGTGAGCCATGGTAGAACACACCAGAGCACAAGTTAAGAGACTTGGGTTCTAGACCCACCTCCGTGTCCCTGCAGACCTGCCTCCACTACCTTTCACCACTCACTCACCTCATCTGCAAAATGGTGGCTTGGTGTGAATTGGTGCTTCTCAGTTCCCCATCTACAGAGAAGTTATTTTTCTGGTTCCCTGAGAGATGAGACAAATAGAGACAGTGGAGGAAGTTTTCATATATTAAGCATTTTCATAGACTGTACATTACTGTATTTTGAACTTTTAAACATTTTTTGATACTAAAATGTCATTTATTTATGAAATAATGATGATAGGACATAGT